CATTATTCTCAAGGTCCTTGGCCCAGTCCCCATCTTCCAGCAGAGTACACGGCAGAGCATGAAGCATGCGATTACAAATTGGTGACTTCCATTTCTAGGGAGGTTTTGGAATATAGATAATACTGTCGACAAGCAAAAGGGAAAAGGAAATAGTCACAAACCTCGGTCCAGTCACAGGGATGAGTAAGACGTCTGGGAGGGCTGGATGCTGAAGAACAGGAATGCTGAATCCACTGAATTGCTGTTAAAAACAAGCACACACGATGATAGAGCACCTAGATCTCACAGGCTTCCCGTGTCACCAAGAACACGGTGACAAAAACCCCGGTGCAATTGGTAAATGACACAAGTGTCGCTGTGTCACCAAGTCCCACCACAAGAAACCCGACTTAGCCTATTCTACCCTACTTCATGGAATGCTTAGTTAATTCCTCTCTGATGCAGTGCTATCCTGGCTTCAGAGGGAAAATGCTGGGGGTCAAACAGGCATGCTGAACCACTGAGCTGTACCCTGAGCCTGTTTCTATTTTTTAATTTCGAGTTAGAATCTCCCTACATTGTCCACACTTGCCTCAAGCTTTCCATCCTCCTGTCTCAGATTTTGTAGGAGCTGAAGCTACAGGCGCAGGCCACCAACACCCAGTTCTGACTTCTTTACAGGAATCAATTTTGCTTACTGTTCAATTTTAAAAACACAAACCATGTTTAAGTGACTTACTCAAAAAACCATCTATTCTATTCATAATCACATGCAGGTACCATGTTTTAAGCTGTGTATAGTGGTGCTCATCTGCAGTCCTAGCATTGGGGAGGAGGAGAAAGAAAGATCATCAATATAGGGAAACCTGAACTACCCACTAAATTACAGGTAAGCTTGGATAAATAATCAAATCCTAGCTCATATACACACAGGGAGACTCATTCTAAAAGTTTCAGAATAGGACATCAGAGATTAATATTACTAAATATGACATATACCATGAACATTGGAGGCCATGTCATTTTTCATATCAAAATGTATGTTTTTGGCGTTCAGGATTTTGAAAACCTATTATACTTAGCTGGTTAGTCAGGAAACATGGCAGCGGCTGAAGCTGTAAGTTACTGGCACAACTTATATAGACTCACTGTGGGCATCTCTTTCCAATTTAATGGACACACTAGAAGTTTGAGATCAACTTTGGTGCCAGTATTTATGCCATGTAAACTTATCAAACACCATAAGTCAGGGTAGTTTTTCTGTGAAGATGTGTTGGTGAATATGAGCCACTATATTGCTACTGCAGGCTGGATGAGAGAGGGCAGCCTCGGAGCAGCATGATAAAGAGCAGACACCAGATCAGAGAACAGGAACTACATGTGTTCTATGGGGAAAAAAAAATCACAAATATTTGATAAAAGTTTATGCGTGAGGCTTGGACTTAAATATTTATTAACTTTCCCACACTACCTGAAAGAATAATAACATTAATTGCATCATGCTGCAGAAACTATACTATCCCCCAAAACAGCACCGCCTGACAGATGCTCCTGACAGATGCCTGAAGATGATGAGGTTAAAGAGGAAAGAAGAGGTTGGTGGATAATGCAGTTGAGAAAGTGTTCATCATGCAAGCATGAGAACCTATGCTGGAATCGAATAAAAAGCCAAGTGTGATGGCACACATTTGTAATCCCAGCTCTGGGAAGGTGGTGAGCTCCAGGCAAGGTGGATGGCACCTGGGAAACAATGCTCAAAGGCTGACCTCTGACCTTCACAGACATGCACTTATGCACTTACTCCCCCAAAACATGCATCCATGTACACACAAGCACACACAAAATAGACAACTGAATCAATGTCAGTGGCATCTAGCACACTAACATCCCAATCACTGTGTCCACTTTACACTCACAACAGCCTGTGAAACACAGTTGGATCTGTAATCATGTTTGTCTCTTGTTTTTAATTTATATGAAAATTAGATAGAACTGGATCTACTTACACCCATCAGTTATTTGTCATCAAATATTTTATAACTCAATATGCAATTCACATGTAAATCCCTCCACGGTCAATTTCCCTCCAACCTTTTGTTTCTTTGGAAACAAATTACAGAGCCTAATGTTGTAACACAAAACACAAAGCTCTTGAAGACAAAGAGGGAACAATATAAGCAATACGATCCCAATGGAAGTACCATAATCAATACTACTTTTCTGCTTAGTCATAAAATGCCACTTTACAATACTGTTTTCACTCAGAACATGAGCAATACTGATAAAACCTAGTGGTTAAAAATTTTAAAACCATAGTCTTCATATTCTCCTAATTTGGTGGTTTTATAAAAAGACACATATGTTTAATTCAATTAACTACAATTAAAAGTAAACTCCTGAGGTGATGAACTCCAAGTGTCACTGCACGGTGCGGCGTCTGTGAACTCAGCATGTGGGCTGGGACTCTGTAGATGCAGTCAGCTGATAGGGTCACCCACTTTCCTACAAGGACCATTCACCCATGTTCTATGCATATGCCCAAACACCTCATTGGTTCACCCAAATATTATTTTAAAAACACATATAATTCTACAATTATTTAGCAGGTATCCTCATAAGTCTAAACTTATCTTATAGCACAAACCCTCCTAATCATTATATGCTGCTCATTATGTGATTAGGTTTACAGATCAGAATGAAGCTCTTCGTATATTTTAATGATAAATCCCATAGGGCTTAGAGACTTATCCTAAGTACTAATAAACTTAGAATTAGAAGTTCTAGGCCTATTCTAACCTCACCTCTTACAACCTTAAAACAATTTAGTATTCACAACTTAATTTCCCTATTTATAAAACTTGAATATCCTCAAACATTTAAATATCTTTATTCAGTAGGGTTCTATTTGAGTACGAGTCTATAATGAAGTATAATTACAGCATATATTTGACATGTACCCTTGAAATGCTGTCAACATATCATAGATGTATATGATTTAATTGAACACTAATGGCATGTAAAAGGTAATATTTCTATGTTGAAAATATATTCTTTTTTCCATTAATTCTTCCACTATGTATGTCTAAAAATTATCAGGGTAACAAACTCTACATATCCTGAAGTTTAAAAAAACTGGAGTGTCATATTGTTCACAGGCTGTTGATGGAGCAGACCGTGGCAGGCACAGAACTGCAACTGCACAGCCCATCACACGGGCACAGACCTTCTGAAGCTCCTCCAGCAGCAGACCTCTGACGTACTCAACTGATGCCAAATGTGTGTTCACCCTGACAGTTGTGAATGACGGCGGGTGGGACAAGTGAATCAGCAGAGTTTCAAATTTCCGTTCCGCTTCTTGTTTGCTTGAAGCAGACACAACCTGAAACGGAAAGAACCACGATTTCAATTTCAGCTCATACCTTTTGGGTACAAACCTGATGAAAATGCTAAATGCCCTTTCCTCTCTTAACACACACTTTACAGGGCCCCTTGAGCTAAACATGAAATACTGTCTTTTTCCACATAGTCTAGCCTCTTAGCACAATCTGGAAATAAGAGATAGAAATCAGTTTTAAAATCTCAGCTCCAATAACGTTCGAAAATATAAACCATATAAGACTTAGTTTTGCTAGAAACCAACAATTTACAAAAAAATAAAATAAAATAAAAATTGCCCAGGGGTGGCAGGGTAGGATGATCAGAACATGTAAGAACCTTGCATTAGAAGGCAATCAGCACTCACTGCGAATTTCTGTGTTAAGTGCAGCCAGTAAGAACACTATTTTGAAAACTTGTTTGCCTAATCAATACGGTTGCTTTCACTTACGTTTGATGCCCAAGACAACCTTTGAAAGTGCTTTGAACCTATTTGATTTTCACAGAATAAATTAAACTTTAACAGTGATAATTAATTCAAGGTAATTCTTACAAAAATAATGCTTTTGGGCACGTCAGTATTCCCAGCACTGGGGAGGCAGAAGCAGACAGATTTCTGTGAGTTTGCGGTCCACATGGTATAAGATGTGAGTTCCAGGACAGACAGAGCTATGTGAAGAAACCTACCTCAGTAAATAAAATAAATGAAAGAAATAAGAAAGAAAAAAAAGGAAGAAAGAAAACAGGCTTTCGAAATGTAAATCTTTTTCTTTCATTACATCTGAGCTTTAGTTGTTTGACAGTTATGTCAGTTTGAAGGAGTAACAGGATTTCTTGGACTTTGATCTCAGTTCTTAAAAATGACACCAAATCACTCTATCAAGATTGCTTAGACTAAAATGTAAAGGTTTGTAATCAAACAACTGGCAGCATTTAAAGAGGCACTCCTGTGTGTCTTTTCAACTGAGTACAAGAGCATGCGCTTTAAAAGAACAGGTCCGTCCTCTACATTAAACCTAAGGTTTGTGGAAGGGAACTTTTCCTGTTGATTTTGCTATCCCTTCAGTGCTAAGTATACTGTAAGTCAAAAACCAAGGCTGTAAAGATTACCTTTTAGTCTTCCTTCTGCTTCTCTAGAAATTGCACTTGAGTTGGTGCAAATGTCTATTTATATGACCTACCTCCTTGTTCATAAAGCTCTCTCTGAGATAGTTTTCAACTTCAGGCCTCAAAGATATCTTAGGAAAAATAGGCATTTCTTTTTTCTGTTTTAAGTCATCCAAGAAAATTGTTGGGAAACTTTTTCTTTTCTTTTTCTTTCTTTCAGAATTACAGCGAAGCCTTGCCAGCCAGTAGCTGAGCACAGAGTGCGTTTAGTGAGTCCAGGAGTGGGCAGGGTCCAGGAGTTGTTCTCTGGGAGGCTGTGAGAAAGCTCCGAACGCCACTGAAACGCTGCTCCAAAATCGGCTTAGTGACAAAAGTACCTAGACGCAGATTGGAAACCGGATAGCCACAACTTCCACGCTGACATCCATTTTCCAAAACCGCGCCCCCGACGCCGGTGCAGAAAGTCGCTTCCTGGGTTCGTCACTTCCGGCGCCTGCAGCCAGCTTTTCTGTGCACGCCCAATCGGCAACTTCCAATCA